ATGATTAGGTATTAGTACGAACATCTGATTACATAAAAATGTTTTTGCTATATGTTAACAGGCCATATAAAATAGATTTAACATATTTACACATTAAAGACTAAAAAGTAGAAAATAGTTTATAAATAAAAAAACTTTTAAAAATAACATGTTTTTATATAAACGCACTAAAAAGTAGAAAATAATGTATAAATATGTGTGGAGAATAAATACTTGTAAGATTTAAAATTAAAAACATGGGGCGCATGTACTATAGGTAATAATACAGAGGGGGTAGCTGTTGATAGGAAACAAACAGATTCACACAATATAACATGGGAATTTTAAATGTAATACTATATTTATTATTTATCTCAATAACCGTTAGAGATAGAGCAAACCTTGTAATATAAAAAATATGTATTTTTTGACGTTCTTTAACTTTTGTATTTACAAAAATTCTCTAATGCCAATAGTTTGTGAAATATTGTCAAAAAAGTGAAAATTGGCCGCCATTTTCCAAGATGGCGGCTGAAGCACAGCCGGGATTTATGGGGACTTTTGATATTTTATTTATTTAGGCTTACTAAACAACTGTGCAAAGTTTCCACTTAGTCCGAATTTGTTAGGTCGAATGGCAGTTTTATCCCTAAAACGCTTGTACTACAACACATCCATCCTGTTTGTATGATTTACCTAAAAGAGGTTAAAAATAGCTAATAATTCAATAGACGAAGAAAGTCGTAAATTAGCTATTTTTTCGTTTTAAATCTTACAAATACTTATCCTCTCCACATATCTATAAATTATTTTCAACTTTTTAGTGCGTTTAAAAACGTGTTTTTTTTTAAAGTTTTTATTAATGAATTATTTGAACTTTGGCTGCTGTAACTGATTTAGCCGGGAGGTCAACCTAGTAGACATTCCAAAAATCACTTGAGGAAAGGTTAACTGTTGGCACTAGTCCATTGTTGTCCAGTTTACTTCCGATTTTTCCTGTCACGATCATCTTTAGTTTTTTGTACACGGATCGAAAATCTTTTTTGGACTCTCTTTCCGCGTCCCTCTAATAGAGTACAGCGTACATACTAAAGTTGGATATACAGGATAGTTATATTAGTACTGTAATATATTTACGTCACGTTAATCTACTATGAGACCTACGGTAATAGCTTATTCCCTGTATGGGAAATTCGCTAAAAACCAGTGATTTACATCAGCACAAACGTCGGTGGTTCAATAAGACTACGTTGATTTTGAACTAAATATAATTTTAATAGGACATGGAATTTCTACTGTCACTACGCACACGTTAATGGTTTGGTCCAGGTCCAGGTGTATATGGCTGTGGCGACTAGCGCCACGTCTTGTGAAGCTCCTGCTCGCTAGGAGCATATACTTCTCGTCTGCTGTGGGTCCAAGCCCTGGTAGCTCAGCTACCTGTAGACGTCAATGTCGAGGATCACGAAATATGGGTAGTCTACTCCTTCTCCGTATGATGGACTAACAATTTATTTAAAAAGACTAGATTGTAAAATAAATACCCCCACCTCAGCAAACCTGACGACTAAGCAAATTTCCATTTACCTGATTTATTTTAAATAAAATCTATTTAAATAACATTAGATTTAACAAGTACCTAGGTTTGCTGCTACAAGGAAACTAATAAAGTGCGTTTTTTAGTAAATATTTATAGCTTAGAATAAAATAAATAAATTTGCCAAGTTTGATCGAAATATATCCATAAACAAATAAACTACAACATTTTACAATATTCTTCATAAAAACAACATGGGAATTTTATATTTACAATTTTGTTTAATTTTTCTTCGTAACCAATAACCGTACAAAAGCACTTAGATATACTGATTTGTTTTTTTTAAAGCTCTTTAAGAAGGTTTAGAGAAAAAATGGGAAATATTATTTTTTGAGGTACAAAAATTAGAAAAAAATATTTTTACTCCATAAAACCCCGTTCCCATGGTCCGATCATCCTGGTTCGAGAAACAATTCAAGATTATCCCACCTTACACATTTAAACCAAATTTAATCAAAATCGGACAAGAATTACTCAAGTTATCGTGTTCACAAACACATATATAACTCTATATACATATATAAAAGTTTAAACGAATTGTGTTTTTGGCCTCTTGAGACATCAAAATGAAAAAGTAAATTGGTACCGGGCCTAGATCTTACCGTGCCACCTACGTAATAGCTACTTCCCTATAGGGAAATTCGCTAAAAGGCGTACAGAAAGTAAAATAAAAACACGTAGTAAGAAACGAGGTCGTAAAACTAATACTGTACCAAATTACTTTGGCAAATTTGATACTAAAGTATACTTTTACAACACAACTTACCGCATATCCAATACTTCTTTCACATAGCAGTCCGTGCAAATCATCAACAATAGTCACTCATCACATAACCTCAAATACAGATGGACACTTTACAATCTCAATACAACGATGTGTACTACGTTATATATTGAAAAAATCACAGTTGGCAGCACTGTATCCGCACCACACAGAGCAACAGATAGGTTTACAATGAAAGTGGATCGAACAGCTGCGTGATAGACGGCCAATGTTCACTTCCGGATTGTAAATTGAAGAGTTAACGTTTCGTGACATTCGCAATTTTGGGATTTACTCACCCACCCACATGTGTTTGCAAATGTATAGATTTTTAGGTTAAAGCACGTGGGTAGGGTCACTGTTTAGAAAGGAAATTGTGTTTTCTTGCTACAAAAAAATGTATTAACTATGAACAATTGGTAAAAAGTGTTGTCTTTGAATGGTGGAAGTAGTCTTCTCGTTCTGTTGAAAAATATGAACTTCTTTATGTTTGTTTGGTGTTAGATACGTTTGAGGGCGCTGATATTAACTAGATTTTTCCTCCAATTTTAGGAAAATATATCAATAACGACTTAGTCTTTGGTTGTATGATCCTAGATAATCACAGCTTCAAAATATGTTTAATTAATCTTGAAAATCGTTTAAACTACAATAGGTAAATAACACACTCTCTCGACAAGGATGGAAACATGCCTTAATATTGTCAAGCTGAATGATGAATGGAAAAATGAATGAATGAATGAATAAATGAATGAATGAATGAATGAATGAATTTATTAATTAATGAATATTAATTCAATAGTAATAGTATATCGAATATTGAATAGTAAAATCTTACTTTTTACTTTACTTTTTAATGAGGTGAAAATTAGGACTACCGAAACAATATTGTCCTTTCTTATATCTAATGTCAAAACTAATTACAACTATTTAAGGTTTTTTTCCGTCCATAGGTTTTGTCAATAAATGAGAATTTGAGAATATAGAGTATAGGCCAAATCATTTACTTTTAACAATATAAGAAACTCCAAGCTAAATTTGTTCTCGATAAAAAAAATTGTAAGAAAAACACCAAGGTCTAGAATAGATCATAAAGGATTTCTGGCGTTCCCAAGGTTTGTCAATATAATTATTGGACTATGTTCAAGATACTGCAAGGAAATTATATCACCTTACAAGTTACTACTAAAGACAAAAGCTGTCGTGAGCGTAATTCAAGACGATCGAAAGTGAATATGAGTCTCAATAACTAGCTCATTGTTAGGGCACGTTTTAGTCTGTTTGTTTTCGAATTGAACTTCTATGAAACAAATATTATGAATCCAAATCAACGCATCAAACACTGTCTAGGTCGTAAGCTAAACATACTACCCGTCAGGTTTCTCATCCTTAAGTAGTGCGATTTTGTTTTATGGAACCAGAGTTTAAACAATTACAACTAAATAAAAGTATTTCGTGCTTATAATCCGGTATTAAAACTATCATTTGAGCCAAGCATTCACTGTAAAGTGTATTTAAAATTAAAGATTTAGTTGATTGATATTAGATCATGTTATACTTTTCCAGACATAACACACACCAAACCGGCTGGATTTAGACTTTATAATAGAATGAGGTTACAAACTCTACTTGCAATATATAAAGTCAATAAAAACCAAAGCTATTATAGATATTTTGCTAATGTTTAGGGTTTTTGAAATTAGCATCATAACTAATTTTAAATTACTTACATTAATATAGTGATTTGAAATAGAGCGATGACACGGTTAAATAGCTGTTTCAAACTGTCTTATTTACCAAAGAGAAAATCTGCAATCTTGATGTTGATACCAATTGTTCAGGTCAAACTTACTTATCAATTGAAATTCATTTCAAACATCTACTACTTTTCAGGGAGTTTAAACTTAAATTAAAAATCTTTAAATAGAAGGCTTTAAATTTAACAATTAATTTTAAGGCATTCCAAAATTACGTATCGTAGACCCTTAAACAAATGGCACAAATGTATCAGTTTTCAAGGATTACAAATGTAAGGGATTCGAAGAGTTTTCAACTCAAATACACAACATTTACTTACCATTTTACGATTACATATTACTAATTTTATGAAAGTTTAATATCTTGTTAATACTTAGTAATACTTATTAGTTGGATTTCACACCAAAGAAAACTGTATATAACAATATACATTTCAGGGAATTTAAGCTTACGTAAATCGAAGAGTTTTTCACCGTAAGAGAGACTATGACCATTTTTCGTGTATTCCCTAAATTTATTTGAATAAAATAGATTTAGCCTAAAGTCAACATTTTTACCAGAGAGCACAGATTAGAAAATTCTATTAACCACTTTTCAAAAATGTCAATTTTCACCTGCAAAACTTTCATACCTAAAAGTGACAAAAGTGTCTTTGGATTGAAAACTCTTTGACAGTAAATTTTGAATCATCGCAATGGCAAGAACTCCCAATGTTTCTTGTAGAAACATATAGCAGTAGCAGAGTCCAAATCTGCATGGCAACACCCAGATCCTGACGGGTCATAATGCACCAAGGACTCCAGAGACTCCAGGGTCCTGATAGCAGGATAACGACCGTCTGTCTGTCTGGAGTGTGGGAGTGAGAAGGTGCGGAGGGAGGGGACAGTGAGTCAGTCAGTATACGCGGGACTCACGCGCCGTGAGGTACTAAGTAGAAACTTGCTCAGCCTCCTTGAGTGACTAGTGTAAACAAGTACTTTGGATCCACAAAGGTAAGGGAATATGTTTATTATAATTACATATGTGAATGGATAATTTAATTCAATTGAACCATCAAAATAAAAAAAATAATATGCCTAATTGTTTTAAACGGTTACAATGTAAACATTACCTTGAAAATGTCAAATTAGTATGTGATTTTAGGACATGTTGTATTTGATTTATTTGTGTTTATTTAACAAATTAATTAAACAAAAAATTTAATATGTTATCTAATATATAATATAAATTACTAAATAGTAATTAGGAAATTTTCATTGTTAAGTGTACACATATAAAACATTCGAGTTTATGTGTTTTATACAAAAAAAGCTCAATTTAATTTTAGTAATTATGTACATACTCATTTGAGATAGGAAATATTTTAGTTTTACAAGTTTAAATTGTCAATCGATTTTAAATGTGTACAGTACTTCTCTTCATACAAACGAATAATAAATTGTGTAGTTGTTCAGTAATTTTTTTAAAGTAGCTACAACATTTTCTATATGATTAATTGTTCCCTTCCTTACTACAATATTCCAAACAATAGGTTAAATTTGATATATAAATTACAAAGTTTATCTAAAATTTTTGATTCGAACAAAAATATGTTTATCTACGATTTCTGTGTAAATATTTAATTTTAACTCTTTATTTTGCCATTGAAGACTTACATACTGTATATAAATATACTTAATGGTATCACTCGTTGATTACAATTTGGTACAAAATTAGCTTCAAACGAAAGTAAGAAGTGATGCGTGAATTGACGGGTAAACGTGTACAAATAGGGGTAATTTGACGCGGGAATGTTGCCAGCCTGTTCTATTAATGGGAACAGCTGATGTGTGACATTGTTTACACGTCGGTGTTATCTGTTTCTGTTTGACACTTCCGACACAAGCTGTTCGTTTCCGATTACTACAATATGCAAGAAAGTGTGAAGTATGTTTTTTGTTAATTTTTAAGGTGGTCAAATTTGATTTATTGATTCAGAAACGCATAACAGTTAGATAACTGAATCTGTCCAATAAAAATATTGGTAAATCTGACACATATTTTTGAAATAATAATTCATAACCATTTTTGTTTCTCATCTCGTAGAGTTGTATTGAATTACAACTACAGTATTCAAATTATATGCAAAAACTACTAATATCAAATTCAAACCTTTTTAGGGACAAAACGCTTAATGCAATTTAAACTTTTACCTTTCAAAGATTATGTTTTTTTAAGACAGTTATTTATGTGAATAAACCTGCTAATTTACATTAAATTAAATATTTTGGTTGTATATCTGTACCATAATATACCCACCCAATTCAGGTCACTTTTATCACTAAAGTCTTAGGCTATTAAAAATCCATTTTCATAAACTGTTTCGTCTCTTGTATACTATCTGACTGTGATTAACCATTCAACTGAAGGATCAGCTGTTCTTGAATTACAATTCACATTTAAAATATAATAAAAACAGCTGATTAGCAACAATGGATCTTTGAAAGTGAACTCTAAAAATAAATTAAACCTAAGGGGACAAAACCCTAAATGAGTTTAACTTTTTAGTTAGCATTCATCACTCCACTAGATCATAAGCTTTACATTGACACATAAATCGTAAAAATCGGTTGAGTAGGTCAGGTTAAAACAGGTGTAACAGAGAAAACAATTATTCTATTATGAATAATAAGCATTTGCTATGTGCTTGTTAAAAAAACAAATGTTTTAACGAACTAAAATGAACAAAAATAAATAATCACAGCGAAGCAAGAGGTGGGTTTCCGTTACTTTTAATTTTTTTTAAGAAACCAAACAAATTAAATTCGATGTTACCAGACGCATATCCGGACCCGCAACTATACCTTCGGATAGGCATGTGCCTGCCCAAAGCCGTTACAATGGGGGCACACCTGCCTATTAGAACAGCTGGTGGTTGCGAATTTCAAACTCAAACCATCTTCTGTCGTTAAGGAGAGACCTTTAAATTAAAGCCCTTGGAAATTTCGTTTTTCTTTAAAACTGTATGTAAGCTCAGATACATTTAAATTGTTTAACAATAGATTGACTAGATTTTATAATGTATTAGTTCATCTATTGTATAACGTATTGAAAGTAATTAATTGATGTAATGTATAGGAGTTGCATACTCCAGTAATAAAATACACTAGCTCAAATCGCTCATTTTAATAGGGTTAAAAACTCGTATACCCCCTTTCCCTGTTAAATATTACTTAAAAAACAACGTCCAAGAAAAATAACAAATGACTGTTTTTTTTTTATTAATAACACTCATATTTTTTAATGTTCAAAATACTTTTTCCTGGTTTTTTTATCATCCACAATGTTTATAAAATGTACCGTTATCATTGTGGATATTTGGACCTTGGACATTTCCTGTAACACACATCCTTAAAGTATATTATCTATGTTAAGTCCAATTTTCTTAATTTTTCAAACTATTTTCAATAAAATTACTGCAATAGCCGGCAACAGATGTATGAATGCTGTAAAATATAATTCAACTTCAATCTAATTTCATATGAGTAATCTATTGCACGTGTAGATTCCGAAACTCGTGTAAGTTTTATGAGTCACACAAACATAACTCATGTTAATTGCGAATGCCAAGTGAATTGCGTATTGCTGTACGTGCGCATAAACTGTGAAATTAGTGGTTTTACTGTTAACTAATAAATCTAAGAATGTGTTTTTAAATAACTCATTGGGAATAGTTTTCTTGGAGGTGATAAAGAGACAGATTTCTTTGGATGTGCACACTGCACCGGACTACAGACTACATTTGGGGTTCGATTTTGATGAGGTTCGGTATGTGGGTACTAATCTATTGTATCTCCAGGCATTTAATTTTTTTTATTTAAATTTTTGTATAATCTTTTTACAAAAACTGCCTAATCGGTTTTGATTACAATTTAGTATGTTGTGGACCTTTAAACCTTAAACAAAATTGTACAACCCCCAATTCTGTAAAATGTACAGTTCAAAAGTTACTGCAGTTTGTGTTATTTACCCAATAAAATATCATAGATACTCCCACCACTTGCCTGTGAAGGTTGTTGACAAGCTAATGGGAGAAAGTGTGTGTCAGATTGCTGATACCGTTTATTTATGAGTGAACCTAAAGTTTGTGGTGAGATCCAAAACATGTGGTCAATGAATCATTACATAGCAAATTGCTATGTAATTGAAGCAAAAGTCTCGCGCTTTAATTATTAGACCGGTTGTGTACCTTTATGAAGTAATAGACGCAGAACAAGAAGGTAAAAATTGGACCACCTTGTGGGAATACAGGTTAAACGAATTAAAATTTACACGACGACACTTGTTTAAATTGCGCGGTATGCATGAATAATGACGTTGCAGCAAGAAAAGAGGTCGTGCTGGAAATAGACTCACGAGAATAGAGTTCAAACAAAAATTAAAAATAATAATACGCTGAAATCAAAATGAAAAGAAAAATAATGGAATAACGTTGAATCACAACCTTTGTAAGTTCAACTATTGAAAAATATATTCTTGTTTTTTTTTTCAGCCAAATAAACATAATCAAAATGTAAATCATATTTAAGTTGAACGCCTAATTTTATTTCACGAAATTATTGGTTCTTCATCTAAAAAATATCTATATCGATAAGTTGTATGTCTAAAAATATAATTAGGTTACTTCAATTCCAAAATCTTGATTATCTTGATAGTATCTTGATAATCTGATTAAAATTTACATTACTGTTTAGTGGAATTACAATTACATTGGTTTAATTATTGAAGTATACTGTATAATTATATACATTTTTATAATATAAATTTTAAATGTATATACTAAATACAATAAGGGGTTTCTCTGTTACGCCCCTTTTTCAGCCGACCTACAGCCCAGATATTTACCATTGGGGGGGGGGGGGGGGGGTTACATTGTACAGTTGAGTTAGAGTTTGTTTTCAAAGATTTAGTAATGCTGACCAGCATTATAAAGGGTTTAAGTGTCAATTGTAATTAAAAAGCTAGAATGATTCTCTAGAACGGTTTAATACAGTCATATTGTAAAGAAACCATTTATAAAACAGTTTATGAACAATTTATTTATTGAATTTTAAATAGGCTACATATTTACTGTATCCTGATTGAGGTAGCAAAATCACTCTTTATGTAGTAGATATGAGAGGAAAATTTTAATTATTGTAAATTAATAGTTTTTTTACCTAACAACTGTCAAAAAACATAATCTTTAAAAATTAAAAAAATGTTCTATTATTCGTTTTGCCTAAATCGCAGAACCATATTAAAATGCACAAAATACGCACGGGTCCCTTCGTATTAATACAACACATTTGCAATTCTACAATCACCAACAAATTTAGATTAACCCGTTACATAATGATAAGAGTGTGATAATAAACACGTATCTTAACAGCACTGATAATACGTTGGATTTAGCCTACCACAGCTGTGTCCGTGTTAAGATTCAAATTTGCACAAACATGGACAAATTTCGTACAGCTTTTAGTGAGAGAGTGCTGCATAAGAGAAATATTTTTATGTAGCTAAAAGGGATTGGTGATTGGCTGGTTTTGAACCCGGGACTTCAGTGCAGAAGGTCTGCATTCTATCCGACCGCGTCAATTCTATCCTAAATTTAATGGAAATTTTGTGGATTTCGATGAAAAGAATGAGTATCATTTAACTTACTGTGTATTTTGTTTTAGTTGGCCTGCGTTTATTTTTTTAGCGAATTTCCCATATAGGGAAAATAAGCTAACCGTAGTACTCATGGTGAGACCTGGACCCAGGACCATTTAAGGAGACATTAATTTTAGTGTAAATCCAATCAGGCAAATGAAAATTCGCTTGTCTGCAGGTTTGCTGCGGCGGGGGTATTACATTTCGACCTTTTTTTTTCAATACAGTATGTGAAATCAAACTATTATTCTCTTTGTTACTTTCTTCGAAATATGACACCTATGAGTCATAGTACAGAGCAAGAGCCTATTATTAG